TTTTTTTTATTACTTTTGATATAGTTAAGTCCATTTTAGTGCTAAAACCTCTGTATTGTGTGTCATTTTTTACAGTGTGGTACTGTTATTGCTAAAATCATTTTTAAAAGAAGTAGCTAAATGTAGCTAAAACACATATATTTCCTAAAACAATAAGACATAAAAATCGGTTTAATATATAGATTTTTTGTCATAATAAATAAATGAATCATAACAAAAACAGCGTTCTGTGCTGAATGAATTAAATTCATTTTTTTTTATCATTTTCATTTTGTCCATCAGTGTCACCGGGTCACTTCCTGTATCTTCTGGTTTGTTTTTCCATGCTGATGCCTTTGAGGTCACCTGCACGGGCTTTTTTCTGTGGCCCAGGAGGGAGAAAGGACATGTTCGTGCTCACCGAGGAGGAGTCAGCCAGTTGACTTCCAGTAGCAGCCTGGCCACCGCCTTCTTTCTGCTCACCCCCCTCCTCCTCTTCGTCCTCCCCACCCTCCTCCTCCTCCTCAGCCGCTACTGCAGCAGCATCCCGGTGCCTCCTGGATCCATGAAGGAAAGCCTCTCTGCACGGCACCACCGTCCTCCACTGCCACGATGGGCCGCAAGCTATTCACTGCGTTGATGTGTTGATATTGAGATATTTCAGTTATCAAATATGAATCATGCATTTGATATTTCTGGCCACTTTGCTCGTCAGCATCCTTTCGCCTTGGCTTCATCCATCACTAGCGTCATCCGGTACGTATTGCAATAGCCTGCTGGCTTGTTTTTTGTCACTTTCATGTAACTAAATACACCTTTCGCTCTCTGTGTTTGGGGCTGAAATGATATCTGAGGATGTACTGCAGGTGCACAGCATCGCGATAATCTTCCGAAATAAGGAATTGTTTAATTTAATATGCGGCGTCTTCAGCATGATGGTGCATGAGGCAGACTACAGCATCTCAGCATCTTTTGTTCAGCTTATGAAAAATAGTGCTCTGTATTATGTATGATTACCACATTTAAATCAAAAGTCACCAGGACTCTTTTTGCTCAACTGCATGATATTTTGTGCTGTTGATGTCTGAGGCTTTTTGGGATGAGTATTGCATAATGCACACTGCATTTATCTGTATGGTGCAGAGTTTTTTCACTTTGGAAAAAGCCATATCAAAAAGTACCTCTCAATGAAATGAAGCAATTTATATTCTGTATTCTAAATCACTGCCATATATGGTTGTCAGTATACTACGGCATGTAACCAATCTTATTGAACTGTCTCCAGAGGAGTCGCAATGAAGCCGTGGCCGCTTGCCTCAATATTATCAATGCATGTCATGAATAAAGGATGACAGCTGGCTGTGTGTGTGTGTGCGCGCACGCTCGTGTGTGTGTGGACCGGTCAGGTTTTTCATGTCTGTGCGTTGGGAATTCTCTTGCAGTTTCTCAAGGAGTAGAGGACAAGGTTGAGAGGGACGCAGTGCCAGCTCTGCTGAAGCAACAGGCAACTGCAGCACCTGCTACAGACAACATAACACACCATGCAGTAGAGCATGTGATCACCTACCCCTCGCGGTTGATCTACTACCTAAACGAGGACTCGGAGAGTACCTACCATGACTTGGACACCCGGGCCAAGAACCAAGCCACAGAGGGCCAGGTAAGCCAGCGTCGAGGAGGGATGGATACTGTTGTGATCAATAGCAGGAGCGTTTGGTCTCCTAATAGCATGCTGTGTGGTCAAGGCTTTGAAGTTTTAAGTCCATGTATTGGCTCGTGTTAAACCGTAACCTTATCTTTAATGTCATTTCACCGCACATTGTCAGACTAAGCAAAGACACCCACACGCAGCACATTAACAGAAAAGGCTTCATGTGTTTAAGAACTGGAGTGATGCAAGGAGTGACCATGCTGAGAGAAGCCTTTCTTCCAGTACTGTACATTACCAGCTGCCAATTTAACCACCACATCTGTTATTTGTGCACTGTGCTGTAGATGATGTTAAGGCTGCCATCGTTGCGCAGTGACTACTCTTTCCTCCCTTACAGGCAGTCCACCTCGCCCAAGCCAGCTTCCAGTTAGAGGCATTTGGCACCAGGTTTGTCCTGGATCTAGCACTGAACAAGTAAGTTGTCCTCATCTCATCGAACTACAGTAATGCATTCAGTAATTGATTTTATAGGCCCTTTGGTCATGAAGGGCAAATTCTGGATGTAGATCCCTTTACAGGACAGGCTTCTTTCCTTGTTTAATTTCGGTCTGACTCAGAGACAAGATATTGAAATGATTTATTTGAAAAGCTGTTGTAGGCTTGTGCAAAGTTAGCACAACTCATAGAGTCACAATAGCCACATTTATTGGAAACATAGCAAGTTGAAATACCTGGGAATTTCCCTTCATATAATAATAACCATAACTTCTTTTGGTCTAACTTCCAGTCAGAGCGATTTGTGTGTCTCTCACAACAGCAACTGCTGTCAAGGTCAGTAATGCGCAGATGGTTGAAAATTACAGAACATCAGTATCTTTACTCATCCTGACATTAAAGAGAAGCTGTGTAAACAGAAACCAAACATTTCTGCCACAACAGATCCACACTGGCACTCTCTCTATGGATATTATAGAACATTTCGTAGCATACTCTACACAAAATGTAGAAAAATCAATTTTTTTTTCTTAATGCAGGGCTATTTAGATTTACTACTTAAAAGCAGCGACAAGGAACTATTTTTGTGATTCTGGCGGCCCCTGTGGACAAAAGCGGTAGTGTCTACTGCTTCATTTCATTGATTTCAAGAGGAATCCAACCGAATAGCAGGCATTAAGAATAACTATATGGAAATGGCCAGTCTTCTTTCTGATGGTCTTGTTTGTTTATGTAGGTCATATAGAGGCATCAGAATTACATTTTCATAACCAGTTAAAAACTAGGTTTAAACGTAAGCTAAATGTGCACCGTAAGATGTATTTTGTAGGACAAGTTTTACAAAATAAACACTGGATTAAAGAAAGATACAAAAAATATGGCCACTAAATAAAATATCCATGATACCATGATCAGTCTTACAAATGCTATACTAGTGTGATCAGTGACAGACTTCGTGTTGCTGATTAAATAACATTTAAGAAGTTGAGTGAAGGTTTTTTTTATGATTAAGAGTTTTATCGTAAATTTTCATCATCATACAAAACAGACGTTCAACAAAGAAATTCAAAAGAAAACAATGAAGAAACAAAACAAAAAGAACAAGAACACCCACAACCCGCAACAGCGTTTAACTGGCCGGGTTCATGTTTTTACCAGTTCCACATTCTGGGAAATTAACATTTAAAAAAAAGAGAAGCAGACGAGGATGGAGCTGGACAAAAGAATATGCACTAAGGGGGCAGCCCTAAACATTAAACTATAAATATTTGACACCATATCTCTTGACCAGGTTGCCTTCCTAAAAAGCTGATCCCACTCCGATCATGAGGCCGGTACAGCTCCTTCTTAACATTTCCTCTTTATAACAGAGGATAGTTGTGCCTTTGTTAAAAAGGAAGAATCTAAAAGGCCAAATGTCCAAAGTAGCTGAAATGGTAAGATTTTATTGCTAGTGTCCAACTGTTGTAATGCAAAGACTCTGTCAAGTTTTATTACTTAAAGTGCATCCTCCTTCTGAAAGGATGGGGTTACACCTAAAGGACAAAGATGCCTTTAAATTGAATTGAATTAAATCCCTCATAGGCAACATTGGAAGTCTGGGCTAGGTCATCAAAATGACCAGAAACAGCCTTGGATGTATCTGTGCAAGATACTGACTGCATGAACAAGCAATGTGTCATAGCTGAAACCCAAAATGACAACTCCTGTGATTCCCGACTGCAGATGGCCGTTGTTTATAAATGATATGTACTATTATATGTCAGATCAGTGACTAATGCAGCGCCAATCAAAGATAATGTAATCAGGGAAACTGTAATTGAATAGGTCAGCACACTGGTAACAAGACTCCTCCAAGTGCTAAGAGCAATCTTAGCTCAGCTGCCAGACTACAGACGAAGACAAACTGTTTAACAATCTATCTTTAATAAGGTTTTATAGGTTTGCAGCAAAATTAAGCAGGGAGACAGGTATTCTGTGATATCACTGTCCGATTCAGAGACACAAGGCTCCGGACACTCAATGATATTGATTTACACCCTTCACAAAGTAGCCGGTCTACATATGTGAAGGCTTAATGTGCATGTGAACAAGGACTTTGAAATGCTAATTGGATTTCAACATCCTTAATGTGATTTAAAGCTGGAATCTGTTATAAAATATTGTAATTTTATATTGTCTGCACAGCTGAGTACTATTGGATGGCTGGATTTTTAGTCTATATGCTGGTATTTAAAGAAAGTGTCATAAACCTAAGTTGTTGTTATACTTATACATCCAGTGCTACTTTTAGCACCATTTCATTGGAAAGCTTTACCAGCTTGGTCGTTTGTTTTTGCTTTGATAGCCGTTGATACGCAAGAATGAAGGATGCTCTGCCATCTTTATAGTAGTCTGAGCATCATTTCAGTGTCACTGTAGAAACCTACAAATTGCAGATTTCAGCAGCTATTTGCGGTGAATAGTATGTGTCATATTATGCAAAGGACAGAGAATATAGGAGATAGTATTAATTTTCTATTGAGCTCTAAGTTGTTTGGAGACCACATATCTATGTTTACTCATGTATCAGAAAGGCCATCCTCTGCCATAATATCATCACTGTTTCTGTCTTTCTTCACTCTGTTTTACATTTATTATATTCAGTTTTGTAAAGGAAAACAAGGAGAAGTAAAATATTATCATGTGTTTGCATTTTGCGCACAGGTATAGAGACAGATACATGCAGCTCTCATCCTGAAGACTGGAACATCATGTTTAACAGATGTTTTCCTGTACATTGTACATTGACATAATACAGCTGGAACTCCGTACAGCAGTATAGAGAGGCTTGAAACTGTGACCTTGATTCTCAGCTGTTTGCTTGTACCGTAGGTTATCTGTGAGATACATGAGCTAACTTCAGTGTGTGCCGTTTTTTTGTGTGCGAACAGGGGTTTGAATTCTGCTTCGTGTTGTAGCTGCGACAGTACTGATCTAAATATAGATGGGTCTGCAACCTGCCAATGGGTGCTGCTTTATCTGCTCACCTCTTACTGTATGTTGGACTGCAAAGCAAAGAAGTCTTTTTTTTTTTTACATCTGAAATGTGTTTTTTTCAGTTGATATAAATCATATATTGAGAGAAAGTGAAATGTGAAGGATAGATGTGAATATCTTTAGTGCTGCTGACCCTTCTTTAGAAGATGTTCATTTATTTAGACTCAGAGCAGATTACCTGCATGTGTTAAGAGATATGAACAGTGATGACAACGCAATCTGTCACTACAGGATTTACTTGATCTGGCGCCAGACGTAAGAACCTCCTGCAGTTTTTTGGTCCTCCCTCTCTGCCTCGCCTCTGTCTCGCTTTTCTCTGCCGCTGCTACTGCTGCTGCATTGTGGCACTCACTGTCTCCTGTGGACTGAGAGACCTCAGGGCAGGACTCCCTTCTCATGGTCTTTACACACTTTTCACAGCTCTCACAGACATTTAAACACACATATCTCGACCCACTGCTTCAGCCCTCCATGCTCTGCCCACTACTCACACACACATACACACACACACACACACACACACACACACCAATGCACTCTAGCGTGGCCCACTCTCCTCACCCTGCCTCATCTATCAAGCTATAAATAGCCCCTCACTCAGGAATCTCTCATGGACGCCGCTCATGCCTCGACTCTCCCCTCATAATGGTGCACTTCCTGCTCACATGCTGCTAAGCATCACTCAAACATATCACAGCGTTGGTGTCACACGACGGATCAATCACATCCATCACATCCACATACATCTTTTTTTATTTCCCCCCCCTTTTTTTTGTGCTGCAATGTCACTACATGTCGACAGAGCGGAGGATGTTTTTGATTTGCAAGGTTACTCAGGAAAAAAAAAAGCACCATAGTGGCAGAAATCGCAGTCTCTTGAAGTCAGCTGTCAGCTAACAGATTGAGTGTGTGGAATGGGTGAGGGACGCTGACTCAGACAGCGGGAACTGCCGGAAGGACTGTTGTGTTCAAGGTGAAGCCGAGGCCTCACAATCATCTCCTCATCACATTAGCTCCTCATTGGCAGCTTTCAGACTTGTTTCTGTTCCTGTTATGTGTGCTGTTTCTCAACCGGTGATCTTATTTGGGGAGAATTGAGGAAGAAACAGAAACAAGAAATGTAGTTTTCTTTAACTTCGCAAAATTAGTGAGTAACTGTGCTTTTTGCATCGTGTACGAGCGTATTTATTTGCATGTTTTTGAAAGAATTTTCATTCTGCCAAGTGCAGTTTTGTTTGTGCAGCCTCTGCCTGTGATAATTAATTATCCTCAGAAGTAAATGCATCATAATTTTTTTTCCTGAGGGCAGGCAACATTTAACATCTCTGCTGCACTTTTGGGATGCCATGGGAGTGTTTGTGCAGGCTAATCCAGGCGCAGTGGTGATGAGTGTTCTTGTTTAAACGCCAACCAAAGCAGTATTCACCGCTAGTTTAAAACCACATCATATGAGTCAGAAAAAGCAGACAGTCTCTTATGTGTTTTTGTTGTCACTGCTTTACATCCTTACACCCTGACCAACTGCAATCTCTCTTTTCACAGTGATTTGCTGTCTTCAGATTATGTTGAGATCCACTACGAGGGCGGCAAACCTGTTCTCTCGAAGGTAACGTCTTCTCTAGCCATGACTAAAATGTTACAGTACACGTCTGTATTGTATTGGTGGAGTCTGGTTCTGTGTTTTCTTCAGCTGGTACAATGTGTCCTGCTGTTTTTTGTACAGTCATGGACATTGCCTGAGAAGCCAAAGGCACGAATGTTCTCATCTTAAGGAAATAGGCATCAAAACTAAAGACAGGAACGGGTGTGAGTTCCTGTAAGTCAGTTAGCATATTATGTGTTATTGTCAAGCGTTCGTGGCAAAATCAAATTAAAACTGCAACTGTCGTGTTGTCTTTCTAATTACAACTGTTAGTCTTTCTTACTATCCAGAAATCCTTTTTTGCACTCCAAGAAATGACAAGAAGAGATAATCTGTTAAGATAGATATTTCTTGATATCTTTCTTATCCTATCTTGATCATATGATATCCTTATATGATATCAGATTTATGGATATGATATATCTTGATATCTTGCATAGATAGATAGATCTATTGATAGATATTCTGTTCTTTCTTCGTGACGCTTATCTTCCATGCTCAAATAAGATAAAGATAATAGAAAAAATCCATCAATTTCTTTGTTCGTACACTCAAGAGATTAAAACATTACAGTATGTGGTTTTATAGAACAGAAGGAAAGGGGAGAGGAAAACAGGTTGGGAATGAGAGATGGCTTCTGCTGCTGCTGCTGCTGCTGATTCAGGCTGGGCTGGGTTGGGCATACTGTAGCTGAATCAGCAGGGTTCTGCTCCCCTGCATCCTCCTGCTGGAGCTCTGGTCACGTGACAAGGGAGAGAGAGCCCTCTGCAGTATCAGTGCAGCGTGGGATGGGTGAAGTGAGAGGGAGATGAGAGACAGAGAGAGAGTGAGGGGGGAGAATGTCCTCTGCTCACCCTGGATCTGACAGCTGAGTCACAGATAGCGCCAGGACCCACCTTGCAATCTATTAACAGCACATCTTAACAAGCACAGGCCCCCCTGCAGTAATGCATCGCAAATATACTAAATCAACATCTGTGAGACAAGCTGTTACCTCCTTGGAGATGTTAGTAAATTCTGACATATTATAATTAAGAAAAAAAATTGACACATTCACCATGTAATGGCAAGCGATCTGTCGATGTATGCACAGTTTTGTGTGTGTACGTTGCCAGTACTGCTGCTTTAGTTATGGCTAGGGTTTGCTGTGATACTGCATTAGCACTGTGTCTTCTTCCCTCAGGGTGGTGAGCACTGTTACTACCACGGCCAGGTGAGAGGGAACGATAACTCCCATGTGGCCTTATCTACCTGCAACGGGCTGCAGTAAGTGAACAGCAGAGTTGTGTGTAATCCTCGCCGTGTTCAGAATATCTCTGGATACACTCATCTCTATTCCTATTGACTCAGTATCGACTGTCTTCTCTCCCTTTTCATCTCTCTGGCAGCGGGATGTTTGACGATGGAGTCTATATGTATCTAATTGAGCCCTTACAACAGACTCATTCAATCGTAAGTTATTCCTGTTGCAGAGAACCAAAATATGTATCGCACAAAGGTTTTTTGTCCTGCTACTCATTTTGCATCACCTCCACCACACATGCACAGCGCTCTGCTGTTACTGCTGTTTATTTCATGTATATATATATATATATCTGGGGCTTTTTATTGCTTTTAATGAATAGTGATAGCTCAAGATTGACAGGAAAGGAGTCCAGTCTTGTTGTCTGTCACCCCGAATTTGCAACCAGTGGTACCTCCAGGAAGTCACTGCGCTAAACAAAGAAATAGTCTGGCTCGTAAACCCTCGTAAAACCACAGTGTGTTGTTTTTACATTTTCTTTTTTGTGTGCTGATGAGATGTAATAGCTTCCAAACTGCTGATATGTGGAACTTTGTTCCCCCATGTTTCCAGTCTATGTGCTAAGCTACAGTAAGCTAACCTGCTGCTGGTGGTAGATTCATCCACCTACAGTAAATCTTGGCACTATTCCTTTATCTTTTTTTTCCTTTTGCTTTTATTTGGATAGTGACAGTATAGAGTGACTGGAAAGGTGGGGCGAGAGGGAGGCCTTGATATGTCATCTACTGGCATGCCCTAAATGTCAAACTATTACTGTAAACAGTAATATTGAATTACCTCACACCATGTATGGCACACAGTTTATTATTAATTGTCCACATCTGTTTTATATTCATTACACTAAGTTTTAATGTTTTATTTTATATTAAGGTTTAATCCTAATTGTTACTGTAGTAAACACTGTCCCACATCAGCTCCAGTGCCTGTCTGTGCCATTTCCTCTTTAATCTTTTAACACTTGTTTGCCTCACCCTTGCAGGATACAGCTGCAAGGCCTCACAAATTAAAAAGAACAGCCTCCCTTGACTGGAACAATGATTCAGAGGAACAGGGTAAGAGTCTCCATCACCTTACATAACCTCCTCCATTAGTCCTCCATCACTGACCATCACCATTTTTCCACCTTGACATTACCTTCACCGTTAGGTATCTTCATCACAATGCGTGCAAGTAGTTAATCCTGGGGTTGTGGCAGTGGAGCTTTAACCTGTCAGTGGTCAAAAGGCACAATTTTAATGCCTTTTACAGCTTCACATTGTACATTGTTAGATATGGATGTTGTTAAGCAGGCTACATAGACCTGACTTTATTTTCATAAAGCATGAGATCTTGTGTTGCTCTGTCTACCATTTTGCCAAGTTTAATGTCTCTACTGTAGTCTGGCATGCTTAATTTAACACAGTACTTCAAGGGGAATTCAAGGAAACAATTTAGGATATTCTGGGGGAAAAAATAAGAAAAACACACCCCTGTGGGCTTGAACTTGTAAGAGAGCCATACCCGGTTGTAAATACTTAATATGTTTGTTGAAGTGTCACTGGTTCCGTGTGTGTGTTCCCAGTTGAGGAGGAGCAGCTCTTCTCAGAGCTGGATGACTTGTCCTGGCTGAAGCGCAGGAAAAAGCGAGCAGTAAGTCTCTGATCTCACCTCTTTATGAAGTAACGCAAACATAAGTTCTCCCACCCTTCAATTGTTACACACGGAGTTTGCAATAGTTTACATGCTCAAAGTCTAACTTGTGTCGGCCTGTGGAAAGAAAATAATTGCTGGTGTTTTTTTATTTTGCAGATGCCTCGCAGTGTATTTGAGGAGATGAAGTATTTGGAGATCATGATTGTCAGTGACCACAGTATGGTATGTGTTCTCACTGAAATCAACAACAACAAAGGCTTACAAAGGCTTACATTTTCATGTGGTATTACTGGTAGAGCTACGTTATTTAGTGAGCACCATAAAATGATTGCAGCTTATACACGTATATCTTTGAGTCTGTTCTTCTTCTTTGTGCCTGCAGTTTAAACGACACAAGACCAAGCAGCACACAAAGAATTTTGCCAAGTCTGTGGTGAATCTTGTGGATGCTGTGAGTAAACTCTTTAGTAAAACCTTGGAGAAATGTGTAGCGTGTGATTTATATAGATCCATTTCAGAGTTTACACACATACAATTTGTTGTTTTTTATTAGCCACTCTAGCGACATGGCTCTAGGGATGGCAGTGTCGGTGGGTGGGTTGATCCACCACTTTGGTCCAGACTGAAATATCTCAACAAAAATCGGATGGATTGCTGTGAAATGTTGTACAGACATTCATGGTCCCCAGAGGATGAATCCTAATGACTTTGGTGATCCTGTGACATTTCACCTAGCACCACCAGCAGGTCAAATTTCCCACTTATCCAGTAAAATATCTACACTTACAAGATGGATTTTCACAAATTAAAAGAATGAATCCCTGTGAATGACCTTTCCTCCAGTGCCACCAGCAGCAGCAACACAATATTTTGACAAAGAATTTAGATTTTTTGTCGATTCTGGTATCCCCTGTCTGTTTCTCCCACCTTGTTTCATTGATTTAAAGAGGAATCCAACCTAATCCACCCCAGGCAATAACAATAACTAAATATAAATGAAGGTCACTGAAGGTCTGGTGTGCTTATATAGATTATATAGGGGCATCAGTTTTTAATTGGGACCGTTTCATAACCTGTTAAAAACTCCTTGTAGTACGTTTATGTTTGTATCTTTTTTGTATAGTGCTAACCAGTAAATGTTAGCATGCTAACATACATAACTGAGATGATAACATAGTAAACAATATCCCTGCAAAACATTAGCATGTTTGCATTGTTATTGTGATTATGCGAATGTTAACATGCTGATGTTAGCATTTAGTTCAAAGCTCCGCTGTGTTTATATGCAGCCTCATAGAGTCGCTGGCACGGCTATAGACTCTTATTGTTGTTTCCTGTGGTTTGAAGGTTGAGTATATAATATTTCACCCATGATAAGGTTGCCTATATGTTGCTAGAGTGCATACAATACCACACAGACGCATTGAGACAATGGCAACTGTCCTTATGTGTGCGCCCGTTTATATTCTACTCAGTATGCTACAGCTAAAGACCTCCTCTCACCTTGAGTCAGCCCCATAGTTGTCTTTTTGTTTTGTTTTTTGTTTTCTTTATTGTATCGTGCCGGTGTTTTCTCTGTGTTGTTGTCATGTTGGCATTAACACTCCCCTGTTCCTCCTTTTTCCCAGTGTGCTGCTTCCCCTCGCCTGTCCTCCTCAGACAATACAGATTCAAATTCACACCCAGTGTTGTTTTCCTCTCCCTGTGCTGTTGCTGCTCTCTCTCTCTGCCTCTCGCTCTCTCTCTTTGTCTTTCTTTATTCCTCCCATTCACTGTGCGCTTCAATGGCAGATCTTCAAAGAGCAACTACACACACGCGTGGTGCTTGTTGCTGTGGAGATCTGGACGGACAAAGATCACATCCCCATCAGCGTGAGGCCACTGGAAATGCTGCGGGACTTTGCCAAGTACCGGCAGCAGAGCATCAAACACCATGCCGACGCTGTGCACCTCATCTCGTAAGTTCTTTATTTAAACAAGATCTGTTTCATTCACCCTTGCATATTGTTTGTTAATATTTAGCCAGGATTTGTGTATGTATTAAGAGTGGAAGGGTGATATATGGGTGTCCCAGTCCCTCCTCTTTGCAGTAAATAGAAAATACTTTTTCTGGTATCCTGTTCCCACTTCATCCAATCAGGAGAGAGAACTCCACAAAGAGGCGGTCATCAAGGACAGGCAGCAGAATTTCAGTGTGGTGACGAGGGGAGGAGGGAGGGGACAGCTAACTGCAAGAATGGACAGGAAGTTAGCCAAAATGCTGGTTTCACTTACAGTACCTTTAAGGGTTATTTGCAATATTTAGATATTCTTCTTTATTTCCTTTGATTTATGTGTACATTTTTAAAACAGGTGGAAGTATTAATACTATGAGATGGTTTCCATTGTATTTATTTTGCATATGGAATTGCAAACATAATGAAAAATACGTCCTTTAAACTGTCTGTTTAAGTGAATTTTGTTATCACTTGTCATTCTAGAAGAATGGTTTTCTTTCACCTCATACCTACTGGGTGCAGTAATTTGCCACTTCTGAGACCCAAAGTGTGTAGTCTGGATGCAATACACATAAAATAACTAATAACTTAGTTTGACATATTTATTTATGCAGCCTCATCTAGATTTATAATATTCTCTCTGTAAGTCTTTCTAAGTTCATGGTGCTCTCATCACATCTGCATTCACTGTACATGTGGCTTGCAGCTTGATCTACTTGTAGTTGTAACAGTACTGTGTCTGCAAGAGTGAATATTTACGTTTGAAGTATTGGATTAGGCTCTCTTTTTGACTCATCTAATCCTCTGTGACTTTTATGTCTCTCATCTGTTCTTCGTGTCTTCCTCTATCGTAGAAATGTGACCTTCCACTACCGCAGAAGCAGCGCAGCGTACTTCGGAGGCATGTGTTCTGCGACACGTGGAGTCGGGGTCAATGAGGTCAGGTTTGCTGTCCAACATTGAGAATCACTCTGTCCACATGTCACAGTGTGTGTGACTGCGGGTGAATAATCCCTGGTCTCTGCTGTATCCACAGTATGGCACCAGCTTGGCCATGGCAGGAGCTCTATCCCAGAGCCTGGCTCAGAACCTTGGCATCCAGTGGGACCCGGCATCCAAGAGAAGTATACATGAAACACACTAACACATCTACTATAAGGGAACTAGGGAGGGCAGGCTATTCAGAGCCGCTGTTCAGATCACTCAAATCACAAATTAAAAACATATTTTTCCACTTAGCCCTAGCCATGCAGATAGTTTTAGTTTTATTGAGGACCCTGTGGTCGCTCATCTCGGTTAAGGCTGTTCTCTTCCCATTAACTCCCCAATAATATGAAGACAGCAGAGTCACTGCACATGCTGAAAAACCACCTTTTCAGACTACACCTTTTGTCTCATTTAATAAAAGGTTCTCAACACACACTTTGTTGTTCAGTTGTTTGATGTGGAGGGATGTAATCCAGTAGACTCAACGTGTGACTACAGTGGCTTTGGTTTTACCAAAGCTAATTGCACTTATTTCAGTTATTATGGACAAAAGTGTTTGCCAAATGAATGAAATGGGATTTGCTGAGGTTTTGAACACGGAGATGTTCTTTTTTCTCTATTTTTATATGTTTGGTAGAAAATAAAACTTTCCACAGAGAGGTCCGTGGTTTGACTTGATTAATCTGAGACATGGTTGTTTAAAAAGCATGTTTCTGAATATTTTAGATGCCACGTTTAATACTTTCAAATTCAATTAAACTTCATTGTGTTGGCGTGACAGCAGATATCTAAAACTTCAGCAAATAAACCAAAACTGTTGGTGTGTCTAGATACCTCTAGGCGTGAGTAGGATAATATTTTGTTATGTGTTCACTGACCCTTCGAATTTCACAGTGCTGATAATCTCAGTTCCATAAAAGAAAACCTACTATAGGTATTAAATGGCCTGAATCTAAGACAGGGAAGTTTTCTGTAAATTCAATTTGAAGAAGTCAGGATTGTTTTAGATTTGAGGTCTATATACTTAAATGTCTTTTAAAGCAGCAGATGGTGCCTATAAAACAAAACAAAAGCCTTTTGACTGTCTCTTGTCAACTCTTATCTGTGCCAGAAGTGACAGATGGAGGGATGCACTGATTGTCTTTGGAAAAAGTGGTCCAAAAGTAGATTTAGCTGAATCAGGCTCATCGAATAATTTATGCCATTAGTTTTAAGATCATATTTTTATCACAGTGCATAATGAGGCAAAGTCAGACTCTTAACAGCTGCCACATTGGACTATGTAAGCTCAACCCTCTGAGAGATTCTTATTATGGTCGCAGAACTAGCCAAGCTTGATGGGAGATGGATTGAGTATGTCAGTGAAAAAACAGTAAAGGAATCCTACGTTATTCAGCTGAAAGCTTTTAGAAATCAAGTGCTAAAACCACTGATCAATGCTGATTCTCTTTAAAAGATAAAGTGGAAATACAATCACGTGCTTTGTCTTCTTTCTGTGCACTACTTCATCTCTCTTTCTTCCTGTCTCTGTCTGTTTTTTTTTTTGCCCTTGCTTTCCTGTTGTGCAGAGGAATGTGGTTGTGTTGAGACGTGGACTGGCTGCATAATGGAGGACACTGGGTAATGTCCTACACTACCCTGAGACACGCACGCACACACACACAC